TTCACATTTTAAGGATCTCTTCATTTTCCGTTCTTTTCCTAGATGGCATATGGTCAGAGGAAGCTCTCACTCACTCGGAGAATAGGCCACCACAGGCCAGTTCCACCTTAGCTGTGTGTGTGTGTGTGTGTGTGTGTGTGTGTGTGTGTGTTGGTGCATGCATACACATCCTTCAGAACTCAGCTAGAATGTCACCTCCTCCAGGAAGCCTTCCTCAACTCCCCACTAGGCTAGGTTAAGTGCCCTGGGTAGCAAGAGGTATTTTCCCATAATGGTCACAGCAGTATTTCCTGCCCCCCTGCCATGCAGAACCTGTATGTGTGTGTTTATGTGCGTGTGCCAACATGTGGACAATGGTACGCATACATCTTGTCATTTTTATAAAGCATAACAAGTTTCCAAGCTAAATATTTTTCTTTACCATTTTCATCAACACGGAGTAAGGTGAAAACCTTAGCGTTGACAGTTTAGATAGACCAGCTTTGGAATACAAATGTCTTTACATTTTGTAAAGTTTAACACGAAGGTAGGTCTTCTTAAGTAGGTCTTTTCTTCTAGGGGTGTCGAACTCAATCAGAGAAGGGGCCAAAATCTAAAATCCAGGCTAAATCGCGGGTCGAATGGTTTACTGAACAGTCATAAACTGTCATTGTGATGGAAACACAGTGGAGTGCAGTGATGACAGCGCAGTGCGGGCCACATTGCAAGGCCTGGCGGGACGGATTTGGCCCGCGGGCCTTGTGTTTGACACATGTGTCTTAGACAGTATTTTGGTGAGGTTGAGAAGACAAGATCAGAAGGTCCTGCTTTTATTATATTTTTAGCTGCTACCCAAATTTGTGGTAACTTGCTATATAGAAACTAGGGGCCCAGTGCACGAATTCGTGTACCTTGAAATGAACTGTGGGCCGTGAGGCTGCGGTGGGCACAGGGGCAGGTTTCGGCCCATCCTCCGCACCCTCGGTCCCCTTTCTGCCGGCAGTCCCGTTCCCAATGCCGCCACTCCCATGCACTGATGGTGCCAGGCCTACGCACACCCTTTGACAGTGCAGAGTGATTGGGGCTGGTACCAGCAGTGGGTTCAAGCGGGTCTGGTGCCGTCAAAGGATGTGAGCAGCATCTGCTGCCCTGATAACCCCTTAGGAGCAGGGGAGGTGGAGAAGCCCTCAGAGGTGCCGGCAGTGGGTGTGAGCAGCAACTCTAGCACCAGCTGTGGGTGCAAGCGGAGCCACTGCCAGCAGCAGGTGTGAGCGCCAGGCGGTACTGTGGCATGTGGGAGCAAAGAATTTTTAGTAACCACCAGAGGCTTGCCCTGATGACAGTGACTGGTGCCCAGCCTTGGTCTGGCACCCCCACTCACCTACTCCACACACCCCCCCCCATGGCCATTGCCCACCATGTTCCCCTCTCTGCTGCCGACACCCACCATGTTCCCCTGGTGGTCAGTGCACATCATAGCAACTGGTTGTTTGGTGTTCTGCCATTTGGTCTATTTGCATATTAGCCTTTTATTATATAGAATAAATAACTAATACTCCTATAAAGTAATCTTGTCAAAAATGTTTATCCTGTGATAACGATGTGTCATTGTATGTTTATCAATTTTATCACTGAGGTGGGGGATACTGATCATGGGAAGAATTATGCATGTGTGGGGGCAGGGGCATATGGGAAATCTCTCTGTACCTTACAATCAATTTTACTATGAACCTAAAACTACTCTAAAAAAAAAAAGTCTATTTTAAAAAATATTTATCCTGAGTCTAATCAAGTTTAAGATCAGGTTTGGCACACTTTCTTTCTTTCTTTTTTTTTTTTTTTTTTAATATATTTTATTGATTTTATACAGAGAGGAAGGGAGAGAGATAGAGAGTTAGAAACATCAATGAGAGAGTCATTGATCAGCTGCCTCTTGCACACCCCCTACCAGGGATATGACCGCAACCAAGGTACATGCCCTTGACCTGAATCGAACCCGGGACCCTTCAGTCCCCAAGCCGACGCTCTATCCATTGAGCCAAACCGGTCCCGGCTGGCATACTTTCCTGTAAAGGGCCAGACGGCGAATATTTTTGGCTTTGGGGTCATACATTTTATGTCACTGTAGCATGGAAGTCGCTTCAGGCAATAAGTAAATGATACACATGGTCATGTTCCAATAAAACTTTATTCACAAAAATAGTTGACAGGCTCACAGGCTGTGGTTTGCTGACTCCAGCTCTAGAATATAAGAGACTAAAGAGACAAAACAACTAAATACACTGCATGCACTACTCTTTATTGGGTCCCAGTTGGAAAGGAACAGCTAAAACATATGTTTTAGGGCTAATTAGGAAAATTAGGGATGCCCATTCAAAGATGTTAAATAATGATTATTAGTTTTCATAGGGGTGTGTGTGTGTGTGTGTGTGTGTGTATGGTTATGTAAGAGAATGACCTTATTCCTAAGAGATTTGTCCTGAAGTATTTACAGGTAATGTGTCTTGATGTCACTAGGGCTAGGCAAGTTTGTGCAAGTGTGGAGTCAAATTCCATTTTTATATAAAATGCTGATAGTGCCTGGTCAGTGTGGCTCAGTGGTTGAGCATCGACCCATGAGCAAGGAGGTCACATGTCTAGGTTGCAGGTTCAGTCCCCAGTAGGGAGCATGCAGGAGGCAGCCAATCAATGATTCTCTCATCATTGATATTTCTATCTCTCTTTCCCTTTCTCTTTCTTTTTCTGAAATCAATAAAAACATGTTAAAAATAAAATTAAAATGCTGATATTTTATTCATCATGCGTTTTAAAATTCATATTAATTTTTTAAAAACATGGTAATAAAATATTATTTATCTTGATTGCTGAGTTTTTTGGTGCCACTTTAAATGTTGTGCCTCGATGAGGGCCTTACTCACTCTCCTCACTTTGAAATGGTTTTAGCAGGAAATTGAGTGAAGAACAATGGTTGAATCTCAAAATGGTGAGTAAATGTATGTTCATTCTAATATTGCAACTCTGCTATAACCTTGAACATTTTTCAAGTTGAGATAAGCAAATAGTCTTTTGGCTTTGAAAATAAAGTAAAATTTAAAATAAATGTTAAGCCCTAACTGGTTTGGCTCAGTGGATAGAGCGTCAGTCTGCAGACTGAAGGGTCCCGGGTTCGATTCTGGTCAAGGGCATGTACCTTGGTTGTGGGCACCTCCCCAGTAGGGCGTGTGCAGGAGGCAGCCGATGGATGTTTCTCTCTCATCAATGTTTTATATATATATATATATATATATATATATATATATATATATATATATATTTTTTTTTTTTTTAATTGATTTTTTTACAGAGAGGAAAGGAGATAGAGAGCTAGAAACATTGATGAGAGAGAAACATGGACCAGCTGCCAATGTACATGCCCTTGACTGAAATTGAACCTGGGACCTTTCAGTCCACAGACCGACACTCCACTGAGCCAAACCGGTTTCGGCTCTCATCAATGTTTCTAACCTTCTATCCCTTTCCTTTCCTCTCTGTAAAAAAATCAATAAAATATATTTTAAAAAATAAAATTTAAAATACTACATTCATACAGAACAGAGTGGTAGTTGCCAAAGGTGGAGGGATAAGGGGTGGGTAAGATGCATAAGTATGGTCATAAACTTCCAGTTATAAAATAAATACTTCCTGGGGCTGTAATGTCCAACTTGATGTTAACAATACTGTAGCATATATTTTGAAAGTTGTTAAGAGGATAGATCTTAAAATTTCTCATCACAGGAAAAGAAGTTTTGTAACTTTGTGTGGTAATCTTATTGTGGTGGCAATTTTGTAACATCAAATCGTTATGTTGAAACTAATGTGATGTTATAGGTAAATTATACCTCAGTAAACAAAACAAAACAACAAAAGCAATTAAGACAAAATATCAACAACAGAAACAAACAAACGAAAGTAATTATAACTGTGCAGTGATGGATGTTAACTAGACTTATGTGATGTTCACTTTGCAATATATACATGTAATGAATCATATGTTATACACCTGAAACTAATATGTCACATGTCACTTATAGCTCAAGTTTTAAAAGTCTCTAGAATTTAACAAATTAACTTTTGCAACAGCTAGACGGGTTGTAGATTTCAATAGTCTTGGGACAATCCAGTTTATTTTGGTACTTGGGGAGTAATTGGTAAAAGCATCCCTTTTTCACTCCCAAAAAGTGTCCCTCTTTGGATTGATACATTACATGGTAATAAGAGAACAGCGTGAGGATTTTTATAACCCCACTCTCCTCCCGACTCCACCACAGCTGGGAGACCTAGGTAAGTCACTCCTCCACATACAGGGCTTGTCACACATTCACAGCAACCAAACTCTTTCTCAAGCGAAAACGCACTGCAGAGCCTCCAATATGAGCAACAATTCGGAACAGCATTTTATTAGTAAAAATTCCTTTAAAAAAAAAATCTTTTTTTAATATATATATTTCATTGATATTTTACAGAAAGGAAAGGAGAGAGATAGAGAGTTAGAAACATCGATGAGAGTCATCAACCAGCTATCTCTTGCACACCCTCTTACTGGGGATATGCCTGAAACCAAGGTATATGCCCTTGACCGGAATCGAACCCGGGACCCTTCAGTCCCCAGGCTGATGCTCTATCCACTGAGCCAAACCGGTTTCGGCTAAAAATTCCTTTTCTATGTTCAATTTAATATTTACCCACAGAGCAATCAATTTTCACTGAGGCTGTCGAGATGGACACATACGTGTTAAGCCAGAAATCTTACTTTGTCACACATCCACTTTGTTTCCTGACTGACAGAGAGCTGGTGGCAAAGAGTAAGTAATTTTTCAAGATGCCTCCTCCCCGTACTCCCCGTTCCCCCTCTAGCCCCCCCACAATCTAAGTTAAACGGAGATGGCAGAAGAATTCTAAGGTAGTTATCTCCAACACCTTAAAAACCTGCTGCCCAAATGCATCTGAGCATGCATTTCATAATTACAGTTTAACATGTTTTAAATGGAATTCGATGCTATATGCAGAACTGCCAGAGCCCTCCTTGGAAACAACTAAACACGATGTCAGTAAGGTCACATCTAGTTCTAAAGCTTCTGTTTTTCTAAGTTTACTTTTTTGTGAAATTCTGCCTATCGCAGAAGGAAGAAGGAATAGCACCCTACAGATTTGGACTCTCCTATTCTTCAACAAAAGCCCCAGAACCAAGTGGGACTTTCCAAAAACTGCAGACACAGAAGCCAGAGCTGCTTGAGTGGAATGGAGACAGTTCGACTGTTGAACTCGCACAGGGCAGAGATGGGCCAAAAGCAAATCAGGGAGGTATTGGCAGCTTTTTCCATCTGCTTCCACGAGCCTCCGGTTTTAAAGATTTTTTTTTAAAAAAAGCATTTTTATCCTCAAAGTTTGGGAGTTAGAGAGTAGAGATGGAAGAATTCTAACGAGTGTATTGTTTTAACGCCAGCTTGGGTCATGAAGTCAGCTTATGAATTAGAGAAACAGAGGCTGAATGTGTCTGGAGATGTAAATTTGAAGCAATTACCAACTTTTTAAAAATTGGGATATTTTGCCTAAAAGCCCAGACTTCTGGTTTGGCTCACAACAGAAAGCTCTGGCAAAAGCAGACTGCTTTCGTCATGGAGATTCTGAGATACAGTGGTGCCCATGCCCACCCTAGACTGAGCATGTGTCCTCCATGTACCCATTGTCTCCACTTTCAGCTCCTCACCCAGATGCATGATAATCATTAAGATTTTTCTCTGGCCCCTATGGAATAGATAGTTGTACTTGTGAGACTAAAATTGGAGCCAGAGGGGACAAGAAGGATGGTACAGAAAGGCTCCTGGTTCTTAGAGCTCATGCACCCAGGGCTATTAATTTAAGCAAGTCACAGCGAGGCTCAGCTACCTTACCTGTAAAATGGACGCAAAAACTCATGACCTTCCTGAAGTATGGGCTGTGATAAGGCTCAGACCATCCACATCTGCAGGTTGATCAGTCTCACATTCATCCATCCCCACTTTGCCTGGTACCAGTACCCCAGTTTCTTCCATTCTCAGTCCACATAGCTGGATGGTATGGATTCCATGCACAGCCCAAGTGGGCAGTTGGGTCAGTGGGTCAGTACGGTTTATCACAGTGCTGCGTTCTCTTAGACAATTGATTGGTTCCGGGATGGGCATATGAGCCAACTGAGATCAATAGAATCAAGGCCAGGATTTTAGTTCAAACTGTAGGGGAAGGGAAGTTCTCTTTTCTATTGAATTGGCTACCATGTTGCTAATCTAAGGATGGCAGGTCTGCAAATAGAGCCCACAACAAGGATACAGGAATGGAAAGGTATTGAGAAGCAAGGACTGGATCACATGATATGAGGCCTTGTGTCCAGCTATACGTCAATATATTATTTTCTTCACTTTAGCTAGATTGGAGCCTCATGCCCCCACAGGTAGTTCTACACTATCAGGCAGACTTGTGAGCGTTTGTTTGATTTGCATTCATTTCTCTGTGCACCCCCTAATCCTGAGTCCTGCAGTGCCCCTGCAGCAGCAGCCAACTCTTCTCTCTGCCTTGATTTGACCATCCATACTGCCTTCTTGAAGTTCTTGAGAGGGTCTTGTTGTGAGGTTCTTGATGAAGGGCACTGGAATCGTTCACGGATGAGATAGCCATGTCTGGTGGGGGCAATGAAGCCATTGGAGGTTGGGATGATTCTGTTCACTATGGCATGGACAAATTGGCTGGCCAGTAGGGTACCTGTGGGGGTTGGGGGGGAGGTCAGGGAAGCACAAATGAGAAAATCAGGGCCATAGAGATTCAATTTCACATGTTCAAGAGTTGGTTGCATGAAATCAAATATCTGCTATGCTCTTTACTTGGTCAAGCATGACATCTAATGTCTTGGAGTCCCTCTTGCTTCATCTGAAATATGAGAATTATAGCTGAAACTATGTGCTGTATCAGTTTCATCCCAGAGTGATCTTGGTGAATTATTATTATTTTATTGAAGGAAGAATAGAAAGAAATTCTGAACCTGCCCAGGATGGGCTTTTAAGGCCACAATTCACAGACCTCAGCTTTGGAGCCATGTGTCATTTTCCAGGTATCTTTGTTACACTAAAATAGATTACAATGTATTAGATTACAATGTATTGGATTACATGTATTGGATTGCAATGTATTCTATTATAATGTATTTGACTCTACCTAATGTTCATCCAGCCACTTACTTGCTTTGTGATCTTGGGATAGTCTTTTAACCTCTCTGAGCTTCTTCATTTGTCAAATGGCAATGTCACTTACCCTTCAGCCACTATCTATAGGAAACAGTGAATGAAGGTGAAAAAGGTGAGCATGGGGAGCAGGCAGACCAGCTCCAAATTCACTGTGTATCCTTGGGAAAGTCACCCCATCTCTCAGAGTATCAGCTTTTACTCTGTAAAATGAGGGTGACTGTTGAGAAAATTAAATGGCTCAGTGACAGTACCCAGTACAAAAGAAGAGTTGACTCTTATTAATATTCCCCTAGTGTAATATTGAACCAAGAGTTATGGGGTTTTCAATAGTTAGGCTGCTCCTAACTTTTACAGGGCCTGGTGCAAGAGAATGAATCAAGGCTCATATCCTATAAGAGACAATATGTAAATGTTGCAGATGCGGCTAATAAACTATTAAATGAAATATGTACTATCCTCCTACATTGATGGATATACCTTTGGAAGGTCAGGTTTAGGTTGAGAATTCTCAGTCTCTGCAGTTCCATGCTGGAAGGCAGTGGTGTGGGAGAGCCAACCTCCAGCTGTTTGTGGCTCAGCTCCCTTCTCTTCCCACTCCCAGCTCTATCCTAAACTCCTAGGGGCCTCAGATACCCAGATTCCCTGCACACACCTCATGGCTATCCCCTGAGCCTAGAGGTATGCACATTGGTTTCACGGCCCATCCTCAGAAGGATGGACCTGGGGAAGAGGCCTGCGTAGGCCCTAAAGAAGACTTCAGGCCAGATGGGGAGGGTGAGTTCCAAGTACCTGGAGCATGGGTCTAGACAAGGAGCTGTAACTGCAGGTAGGCCCGTCTCTTTGGTCTATAGAGACCTGAGAGGGAACCAGCTAGAGGAGGCCAGAATAGGGCCTCTAATGCCCACGGCCCAGGACAGGGCTTTCTTCTCCAGATGTAAGCTCAGTCTTGTTATCAAAGTAAAATGACTCACCATCCAGCACACTCCAGACAATTACGGAGCGATCCCTCAAGCCCGCGTACACATACTTGTCATCCTTGGAGAAGCAAGCACATTGGACTCCTGGGCAGTAAGAGTTCTGTTGAAAAAGACAGTGTGATCTTGATTTCAGACTGAAAGATACACAGGACGCCAGCCCCAAGGCATGTGTGTAAGAAGCAAGGCTGTAAGCACCCATGGAGGATGGACCCAGGGAAAACCTGGCGAAACAGGTGGTATTTGATATTTCCAGGATCAAAGTATGCCTTCACTGGCACTAGATGGTGCGTCTTAGAGATACTTTGCATTAGAGAGCAGGAATTCTAGGATTTAATTCTTAAATGGCCTCAGTTAGACAAGTATTAGCTATAATTGACTTTAATTAAAAGCTCTGTGTAAATGCAATATGGGCTCTTGGACTGGATCCTAGAATGAAAAAAGGGGAATTTGTCAAAAACGTACAGTCCCAAGAAAGTTGATAGTTTAGTTAGTAAAATATGATTAACATGTTAATTTCTTAGTTTTGACAAACACATTCTTTTTACATAAGGTACTAACATCAGGGGAAGCTGGGAGAAGGTTGAGTAAATGGGAACCGTTGTACTATCTGTAAACGTAAACTTTTCTGTCATTCTAAAATCATTCCAAAAATTGCCGGGACCAGTTTGGCTCAGTGGATAGAGCGTCGGCCTGTGGACTGAAAGGTCCCGGGTTTGATTCTGGTCAAGGGCATGTACCTTGGTAGCGGGCACATCCCCAGTAAGGGGTGTGCAGGAGGCAGTTGATCGATGATTCTCTCTCATCGATGCTTCTAACTATCTCTCTCCCTTCCTCTCTGTAAAAAATCAATAAAATATATATTTTTAAAAAAATTAAAAAAAAAATCATTCCAAAAATAAGTTTTTGTTGTTTTTAAATAAAAAACAAAACAAAAAAAAACCCAAAAAACAGAAAGCCAGGTGTGTTTACCCGTAACTGCAAAAGTGACATTTCCCATCTCAACAAGACAAAATATTACTTACATCCCAGCCTCATAGTGGCTTCATAAAAATAAACAGATCAGGAGGGACAAAGTTTTTTAAGATAAAACTATTTATACTCTGCTCACTTAATACAAGGTCAGCTCCCTGTATTTAACAATTTTTACATCTTGCAACCTAAGGTACAGCCTTTGCTACCCAACTGAAGAACTGGAATAATAACCCCAATGGTACAAGATCATTGTGAGGGTTAAATTAGAGAATATTTTAATATGTACATTTTTATAAAATATGTATATAATATGAATATATCTACAATAATAAAAGCATAATATGCTAATTAGATGGGACGTCCTTCTGGAAGAAGCCGGGGCTGCGAGGGAAGCCCGGGTCCCCGGTGCCAGAGGGAAGCTGGTGCTGGCAGGGGGAAGGAAGGCCTACTATTGCATGGATTTCGTGCATCAGGCTTCTAGTAAATATATAATATAGTTCTCCATAATATTAATAAAAAATTATAATAGCTTCTTGAGATAGGCAGTACTTTGTATATAAAGGAGTTACTGGTTTCCCTTTTCAGAGCTTTTGCAGCAACTGTTCCTTCTGCCTAGAATGCTACTCCACAGGACTTATTTGACCTTAACACAGTGGAGTGCACACTTAATAAATGCTACTTTCGCCCTGACCGGTTTGGCTCAGTGGATAGAGCATTGGCTTGTGGACTGAAGGGTTCCAGATTCAATTCCTGTCAGGGGCATGTGCCTTGGTTGCGGGCACATCCCCAGTGGGAGGTGTGCAGGAGGCAGCTGATCGGTGTTTCCCTCTCATCACTCTCTCCCTCTTCCTTTCTCTCGATGAAAAATCAATAAAATATATTAAAAAACAAACAAACAAACAAACAATATGCTCTCCTCCCGAGGCAAGCGCCTCACTTTTCTTACCCTAGTCCCGACCCTGGTCAATGCCCCGTGGTGTGTGCCCTTAACAAAGGACCCGGGTCATTCGCTTTCTAACACCAGGACCCGGCGTGGCCGCGTACCGTGCAGCTCATCTCGAACTTCCACTTGCACACGTCCAGGTCCCAGAGACACAGCAGGGCCTCCTCGGACCCGCTCACCGCCAGCTGCTCCTGGTGGCTGACCTCCACGCAGGTGACCCGGCTTCCGTGGGCCTCCAGGGGGAACACTTGGGAGCGCGCACACGCGTAGAGGAAGAGGTCGCCGTTGGTCATGCCGTACATCACGCGGCAGTCGGCCAGCACGGCCACGCTGGCTATGGTCGTGGGCAGCTGGGTGTAGAAGGTGTAGGTTGGCCCGTCGACGACCGGACAGGGGTCCCCAGGGTTAATGTCCAACACCAGGACGGTGCTGTCGTAGGCGATGGCCAGGCGCTCCTCGCCCTTGCTCAGGGCCATGCAGTTGACAGCTTTCCGGGCCTCCGGAGGGGGGATGCACATCACATCCTGGCGGGAGTCCAGGGGGAACACGAGGACGATGCCGGAAACCAGGCCCGTGAAAAGCAGCTTGGCCTGCTCGGCCACCTCCAGGCACCTGACCTCGTTGGAGGTGTCCAGGGCGTCTTGCTCTGCACCTGCCACAGGGAGGAGAGCACATCAGGAATGCTCATTCCATGTCTTTCCCTCCCCCCATTTTTTTTTAATGCTTTCATTAGACATGGGCTTCAACGCGGCTTCTGCAGGTTTCTCTGCTTCCACTCCTGCCACAAAACCATCCAAGGACCTAAAAATGAAAGTGATGCCCAGCCCATGTAGTGGTTGAGCGCCAACCTACGAACCAGGAGGTCACATTCCATTCCTGGTCAGGGCACATGCCCAGGGCTCAATCCCCACCTATAGGGCAGCAGGAGGCAGCCGATCAACGATTCTCTCTCATCTCTGTTTTTATCTCTTTCTCCCTTTCCCTTCCTTTCTGAAATCAATAAAAATATATTTGAAAAAATTTTTTAAAAAGAAAAGAAAATGACATCATATCGCCCTGGCTGGTGTTGCTAAGTGGTTAGAGCAACAGCCTGTGGACTGAAGAGTCACAGGTTCAATTCCCAGTCAAGGGCATGTACCTGGTTTCAGGTTTAATTCCTGGCCCTAGTTGGAGTATGGGCAGGAGGCAACCAATCTATGTTGTTTCACCTTGATGTTTCTGTTTCTTTTTCTCTCTCCCTTCCTTTTCCCCAAAAATCAATGGAAAAACATCCTTGGGTGAGGATTAATCAAAAAGAAAATAAAATTTCACCGTCTCACTGTTGTGCATACCACCAGTGACTTCCCACTCCTCTTCCATGACCTCTTTGAGCTCATCCCAAATGGTTCCTTTACAAACTTCTGTAAAGGCTAAAGAATAAATACTTGGGCATTTCAGACTATATGCTGTGGCAACCGTTGTATCCCCCAAACAGCAATATATAAACCCGTGGGTCTGTCTGGAATTGGCCTGAGGGCCGACTCCTCTCTTATCCCCCACCACACTCCGTTCCTTTTTCCTTGGTTTTGCCCCGAAACTAGCAGGCAAGCACCTCGAGAATCTGTCTGACTCACCCCCCAAAGCCTGGCACCACACAACCATCTGTCAAATCAGTGAATGCAGGAACTTGAGAATGATTTTCTTTTCTTACATTATTTTGTCATAAACAGGAAGTTATATTTCTATTCACACAGTGGGAGCAGATACTGTTGGTAAAACACCCAGGCTCCTTTTACTGGCCAGTTCACCTAGACCCGAGGTTTCCACTGCCCCTAAGAAGGGAAACTTCATCTGGAAACGCCTGGGGGCTATGCCCACCCCACCCCCAAGGGTGGCATCAGGCCAATGACCGCCTAATATGGGGTTCAAAGTGCTGGCCCCCTTGCTTTGAATGGGAAAACTCTGAGGTGCAATTTATGCACTAGAGCTCCCCGTGGAACCAGACTGAACCCCCTGTTCTTATTCAGCCCCTCCCCCCTGCTCCCTCACCACCTCCCAGGCTTCTCCTGGGAGATCCCCTCTATACACCACTTGGGCAAATCTCCCCATCACATGCCCTTCTTTCCCTGGAATCTGAACTAAAACAGAGACTGACAACCGGTTATCAATTGCCCTGTGCCAGAAATTTAAAAAACCAAATTCCTATCAGCCACTTACAATTTTACTGTAGTAGGAGGTGATATGGACTGAATGTCTGTGCCCCTCCCAAATTCTTAGGTTGAAATCCCAACTCCGAATGGTATTTGGAGGTGGGGTCATAGGGAGGAGAGTAGGTCCTGAGGGTGGGTCCTTGGGAGGTGATTAGGGGATTGGGTCACAGTAGAATGAGGGCCTCTTTAAGTGGTGACAACGTGCTCTCTCTTTGCTCTCTACCACGTGAAGGTCCAGTGAGAAGATGGCCGTCTGCAAACCAGGAGGAGAACCCTCACCAAATCCTGGGTCTGCCAACACTTGATTTTGGACTCCCAGACTCCAGAACGGGAAGGAATAAATGTCTGTTGTTTAAGCCTGCATCAAGAATGGATCATAACCCTAGCCCGTGTGCTCAGTGGGTAGAGCATCGGCTTGCAGACTGAAGGGTTCTGGGTTCGATTCCAGTCAAGGACTCTTACCTGGATTGTAGGCTCGATTCCCAGCCCTGGTAGGTTATGTGCTGGAGGCAGTGAGAGGGCCGGGCGGGGCGAGGATAAAACTCCTGACTCCACTGTGGGGCAGGGCGGAGTTATCCTCCATTTTGTAACTGAACCCTAGCCCTCACCCAGCCAATCAGGGTCAGCCGAAGCAGTGACATCACCACCAGAGTAAAACCCCGGGGCTTGGCGACGTTCGCTCTCTCTTCCGCCATGCTGTTGACGTGCTAGCATGGAAGAGGCTTTTTTGTTTATTGCATCGGACTCTGCTCCCTGGTGGTCCTTGCGGATCACGAAGTCTGGGCGTAACAGCAACCCATCAATAGGTCTCTCTTACATCTATGTTTCTCTCTTGTATCTCTCCCTCCAGCCCCGCTTCCATTCTCTAAAAATCAATGGAAAAATATCCTAGGTAGAGGATTAACAAAAAAAACAAACAAAAAAAAAATTAAGAATGGATCCTAACCTGGTGGGTGTGGCTCAGTGGTTGAGCATCAGCCTATGAACCAGGAGGTCATGGTTTGATTCCCAGTCAAGGTACATGCCTGGGTTTTGGGCTGGATCCCCCATGTGGGGTGCGTAGGAGGCAGCCAATCCATGATTCTCTCATCATTGATGTTTCTATCTCTCTCCCCCTCTGAAATCAATTTAAAAAAAAAAAAAAAAAAAGGAATGGATCATAGAAATGCTTATTCCAAAGTTTTCATCATCCATAAGCTTCAGTTGGCTCTGCAAGTTTCCGTTTCCATTATCCCAATTGATAGTAATTCTGTTATAGCGGCCCAAAGAGAAGAAGACAGGACTCCAGTGCTTACCCACACACACTGACCGTGCTTATACAAACCTTCTGCCAAATCCCAAATGGTGACTTTGCTTTTGTCCCCGATTTTGGGGAAGTAAATGTAGCTTCCATTGTGTGACACAGCAGTGAGGCCAGTGCGGTCCAGGAATGGGGCAGGGGTTCGTGGCTTCCGAGTGTAAGTGAGATCCCAGACTTTGAAGGATGAGGACTGCTGGGAAGCGGATGCCACCAGAGCCCCACCCTGGGCCAGCAGGCTCATGGGGGCCCCCACACCTTCCAGGATGTCCAGCAGGGTCCCCTGTTCTGACAGACTCCACACCTGAGGATGGAGAGCAGAGGGGCAGAGCTGACTTCTTCCTTATGCAGCAATAGCTTGAAAATATGCTTAAGTTCATTTGTCCAACTAAGATGAATTCTTAGGCTGAGGTTCAAAGGCCTTTGGGGTGGCATCCCTACATCTCACCAGTCTACCATCATGACAGTTCTCAAAGTGTGTTCCAGGGAACCCCCGAAGAGTACCCCCCTCCCCCCGCCTTTTCTGCAAAAGCAAGACTATTTTCATAACAATTCTAAGATATTATTGCTTATTCCATTCTCTTCCTCTTATGAGCAAACAGTGGAGTTTTCCAGAGTTATGGGACATGTGATATTATAACAGATAGGAGTATGCAGAATCAATTAGGAGAGTCCAATAGTCTGTTAAGTCAGACGTGAAAGAGACTTGCCAAAGTGTGAAATAATGACACTCTTCTGGTAAGTTATTTGGTTTGTTTCAGAAAATGGAATTATTTTCATACAAGTAAGATATTATGTTGACATTTCATGTTACTGAATTAATGGATAAGTACTTTTGGATTTCCTTATTTTTAATTTTTAATATGGTAATTGCCAATAAGATCTAAAGGCAATGTGGGATTCTGAGTTAGGTCCTGGAATAGAAAAGAAGTACAGCTGGCCTGGTGTGGTTCAGTGGTTGAGCATCTACCTCTGAATCAGGAGGTCATGGTTCATTCCTGGTCAGGGCACATTCTCTGGGTTGTGGGCTTGGTCCCCAGTAGGGGCATGCAGGAGGCAGATCAATGATTCTCATCATTAATGTTTCTATCTTTCTCTCCTTCTCCCTTCCTCTCTGAAATCAATAAAAATATTTTTTTAAATAAAAAAAAAACATTTATGGGAAAGCTGGTAAAATTGGAACAAAATCTGCAGATCAGTTAAGAGTATTATTCCAATGTTACTATCTTGGTTTTGATAAAGGGACCAAGATAATATGATATGTGAAAGTTGGGGCAAGCTGAGTGAAGAGTAGATAAATATTTGGGGACTCTCTTAGACATAACTCTTCTTTAAATACTAAAATTATTTTAAAATAAATCAGCTATTAAAAATATAGAGATCAAACTGATAAAACTCACTAAACAGAAACTCTTGGGGAGGGAGGGAGGTAATCTCAAAAATCTTTAAGAATGTAAAGATGTGGTGAGATCAGAAGATGGAGAACCAGCCTTGAGAACTCTGAGTTTTACAGGAACTTCCCTCCCTCCCCCAGACCGGGCTCCACTCTGTAGGTCAAAGTCCTCCACGTCTTTCAGGTTTCCTAGGAATGTTATCTCTTCTTCTGAATGTTTTGGTAATTCCCCCAGGTCTGTCACTGGGTCCTAAGAGACACCCACCCCTTATCTTCCCAATGACCTGCCCTGTTTTGCCTGCCCTAATTTTCTGTGGGTTTCTATATTTTGAAAGTCAAAGTCACTTAAAAAAAAAAATCAAATCGAACTAGTTATTTCAGAGGCAGGGGTGAGGATGACAGGTCCCAGGTCTCCCCCTCACCTGAATGAGTGCGTCCCGGGACCCAGTGACAATCACATTGTTCTCAGGATCAAAAGCAGCCGCCTCCACTGTGTCCTCGTGTTCAAGGTCAGTGGCCATGAATCGCTGAAACCCCTGTGCGTTGGCCAAGAATATCCGCACGGATCTTCCAAAGCCTGAAATGGCAGGGTAGGGGAAAAGCCTTTGGTGTCTGGAGGAGCTTGAGTAATTCAACTGAGTCAACCACGTTTTCTGAGCACCTACTTTGTGCCAGGGGAAGGAATACAATGGTGAGCAAGATGGACACAGCCCCGTCCTCACAGAGCTTACCATTGGGAGAAGGGGGTTGGGGTTGACAGTAATCAACGATCTCACAGAAAAACAGGAAAGATATTTATGATGAGAAGACAATGTGTTTTCTGAGGACTGGGGCTGCTTATCTGGGCTGCTCATGGTATCCCAGTATGCAACACAAAGCTGGGCACAGAGTAAATTGTTTTGAAAAAGAAAAAGAGGGACAGAGGAAGGGAAGAAGGGAGAGAGGAAGGAAGAAAGAAAAGAAAGAAAGGAGGAAGGAAAATACAAACACTATAGTTTCTGATAAGGGCAGTGTGGTCAGGGGACGGGTGCCTTGAGGAAATGTCACACAGACACATGGCAGAGAAGGCTGTGAAGGCAGAGGCAGAGACAGGGATGTGGCCACGAGTCAAGGAATCCCAGGGCAGAAGCTGGAAGAGGCAGAAAAGGATTCTTCTCGGGAGCCTGAGGAGGGAGCCAGCCCTGACAGCACTGTAATTTCCGACTTCTGGCTTCCAAACCGGCCAGGGAAGACATTCCTGCTGTGTGAAGCCACCGCATTTGCATGGTAGTCTGCTATCTCAGGCCGTGAGCTGACTCCAGAGGAATGAGGAAGCGGCAGGCACCGGGAGGGGGAGCGGCAGGGACAGACCGCCGGGAGCTGGACAGGCCGGTGTGTCCGAGGAGCAGCGTGGAGGCCAGGGAGGCTGGAGCGCGGTGAAGGAGAGGGGGAATGCGGGAGACAACCACCTCCCACACAGTTACACTGAGTTTCAGATGAACAAGGGAACATTTTTTTGGTACCTAAGTATATCCTACACGTTGTGTGGAATATCCTTGTACTAACACTTTGATCTGCTGTTCATCTGAAAGTTAACTGGGAGTTCTGTATTTTTTATTTTTATTTTTTATTTTTTTTGTCGCCCAGGCGGGAGCCCACCTCTAGTGGGAGGACGACCACTAGGCTTTGGCCTTGTTATCCCTTTTATTTATTTATTATTTTATTTTATTTAAAAACTATATATTTTATTTTATTTATTTATTTATTTATTTTTTTAGAGAGGAATAGAGAGTTAGAAACATCAATGAGAGCGAATCATTGATCAGCTGCCTTTTGCACACCCCCTACTGGTCCTTTCAGTCCATAGGCCGACGCTCTGTCCACTGAGCCAAACTGGTTTCAGCTGGGAGTTCTGTATTTTATCTGGCATCGCTGCCCAAGGGGACTTGCTCACGTGCTCACATACCGTCTAGGAGAATGTGGTGTTTGAGAAAACCCTTAGCAGGGGCGTAGGCAAATGAGGACTACGTCTCCTAACCAACAGGTTGGCCCTCAAAACTGTGGATGGGCGCCCTTGCTGGTTTGGCTCAGTGGATGGAGTGTCTGCCTGCCGACTGAAGGGTCCTGGATTCAATTCCGGTCAAGGGCACAAGCCTGGGTTGTGGGCTCGATCCCCAGTACGGGGATGCAGGGAGCAATCAATCAATGATTCTCTCTCATCATTGATGTGTCTATCTCTTTCTCTCTCTCCTTTGCTCTCAGAAAATCAATAAAAATATATTTTAAGAAAGAAAAACAAACAAACAAACACACATGAGAATGGTGAAACTGTCCGGGCTCCTTCTTCTCATTGGCTGCTGGAAAGAGCCACACTTGAAACCCAACTATAACAAGTTTTATTTTGGAGGGGGGGTGGTTGTGGGCTATTTTTTGGATGTGCTTAGAGAGAGGAAGAGAAGGAAAGAGAATGCCAGGGAGAGGAAGAAGAGAGAGAGAGAGAGAGAGAGAGAGAGAGAGAGAGAGAGAGAGAGAGAGAAAGAGAGAGAGAGAGAGAGAGACAGAGAGAGAGAGAGAGAGAGAGAGAGAGAGAGAGAGAGAGAGAGAGAGATTTATGTGAGATAGAAACATTGATCTATTGCCTTTGGTATGTTCCCCAGCCAGGCATCAAACCCGAAACCCAGGCATGTGCCCTGACCAGAAATTGAGCCAGCAGCCTTTCAGAGCACAGACTGAGGCACAACCAACTGAGCCACACTGGCTGGGTGATCTGTAACATGTGTTTAGGTCACCGAGCTCCAGTGTCTGTGGCCTCGGTCCTGACTCTGTCTTAGTTTTTCTTTTTCCTTTCATTCCTATTTCCTGTGCCACATGCTACCCATGCTGAAGCCCCCCGAGGTCCTTTTGGAGACAGGACAGAGGGTACATGCCAATCTGTCACCTATCACCTGACCTCAGAGGGCACGTGTTCACCAACAGGGTCACACTGGTGCTGTTAGTGGTTTGAACGGAGGTAAGTATAAGAATCAAACACACACTAGATTTGGAAAAGCCACACAGGAATTTTAAAAATGATGTGAAGTATACCATGAATGATTTTTTACGTTGATTTCACATTGAATTTTTGGATGTGCTGGCTTAAATACGGTGTTATCAACACGAAGGCCACCTGCTTCTCTTTACCTTTTGACATAAGGTCATGAGGACATTGGCAATTAGAGACACGGCTCACCCCTGTGGTTCCCGTTACCGGGCAGCACTGACCTACAGGGTCGTTGGCCCCTGGAAACGGCTTTGCAAAAACCAGGCCGATTGTAGGGCCGTGAAAACACTCTGTGTGAGACTGCGACGAAGGATGCATGTCATTCTACATTTGTCCAAACCCCTAACACACATGTGTCAAACACAAGGCCCGCGGGCCAAATCCGTCCCGCCAGGCCTTGCAATGTGGCCCGCACCGCGCTGTCATCACTGCACTCCACTGCGTTTCCATCACAATGACAGTTTATGTCTGTTCAGTAAACCATTCGGCCCGCGATTTAGGCTGGATTTTAGATTTTGGCCCCTTCTCTGATTGAGTTCGACACCCCTACCCTAACATGTACAAAACCAAGAGTGAACACGAATGTAGACTGTGGGCTTTGGGTGCTGTGTCTCTGTTGGGTTGTTGGTTATCAACATGCATCACTCTGTGGGAGATGTGGACAGTGTCACATGCACTCGTGGGAGTGGGGGTGGGGGGGACATACGGGGAATCTCTGTCTCTTCTGCTCAATTTGGTTGTGAACCTAAAACTAATCTGGCGGGTGAGGGGGTGGGGGGAAGACCTTAAAAAAAAAAAATCAGGCTCTCGATCATCTGTTAGTCACCTCCACTAGGAAGCCTTCCTTGACTGCTACGAACTAAAGAAGGAAACCCTGTCACACACTCCATGGCCCCTGATTCTTGTCTTTCTTATGCCAACCTATGTGTCCATCTTCCCTGCTAGCCTGGGAGCCCCTAAAAGCTGGAGTTGTGTGGGGAATGCAGGAGGCTCACCAAGCCTTCACCCAGTCCCGCTCTGTCCCTGTGGCTGTCTGCTCCCGTTTCAGAGATAATGAACCACAAACCCAGGAAGGTTAGGAGATTCGTCGGGAACAAGGGTTGGCAAAAGACAGCCTGTGGGCCTGAACTGGCCACCATTTTTTCGTATGGTCCATTTTTTCCAATGGTTGAAAAAGCTCAGAACAAGATGACTATTTTATGACACATGAAAATAATATGAGATGCAAATTTCAGAATCTATAAAGAGTTATTGGCTCATTGCTACTCCGGCTTTTGCATTACAGGGCAGGGTTCTAAACAGATTCCGTCGGGCCCACAAAGCCAAAAATGTGTACCACGTGGCCCTTTGCAAAAAGTTTGCTGATCGCTGGCCTAGGACTCTGCCTTTTCCCCCAGCCCCTCTTCCAACCAGATCCAGAGCCGCCTCCTCACCACTCCCTAGTGAGTGAAACGCTACCTGCAGCGAGAAGGGACTCATCTTCAGAGGTGACCAGGAACCCCACAGCTTCCGGAAGCTTCCCCAGCAGGCTGTCTCCTTCAGGGGAAACCTGCACAAAGTCAAATATTCCCATCAAGCATTCCCATGGGCTTAAGGGTTCAGGGTCAAGAGCTTGACGCAGGGCTGTGACCAGCAATGGGATCCTGAGCGAATTCCTTAAACCCGGGGTGCCTCAGTTTCCTCGTCTGTGGAATGGGTGATGAAACCAGGACTGCCTCACAGGGCTATTCTGGGCTGAAAATGTGTAGAACGGTCCCCTCACCCCCCACCCCCAGGCACATAGTCAGCTCTTCCAAAGTGGCAGGTATTATTATTGTCGACATTGTTATTGTTTGTTGTTGCAACAAACTCAGGGACCCAGAGAACATTCTAGCATTTGTTTTCAGCCCCGGAGGAGGCCTGGCAATCTCAAATATCAAAACACAAGGCCGAGCCAGAGACAGGAAGCACTGTTCTCCCCATTCCCGAGTTGCAAAAATGAGCCGATTTTGATCAAATCTAAGAGTGAGATTCATTCATTCACCCTGATTCTTAGCCCCAATCCAGCCCCTGGGTTTTGAGCACCTGGCTGCTGTCAGCCTGTGTGCCAAAAGCATTACGATCATTATCTGTTGGGGCGAGAAGGAACAGGACACGTGGGCAGCCCAGGAAAGGGAGTCCTTTGCACCAATTCAAGCCAGGAATTTAAAAGAATTTGTTCAACGTTTATTTAGCAGATGCAGGAGAAAGTGAATTTCTTTATGGATGTCACTGCTGATATTTTTAAACACATAATTTTTTAAAGTAAACTTAAAAAATATATATTTTTTGATTTCAGAGAGAGGAAGGGAGAGGGAGAGAGAGATAGAAATATCAATGATGAGAGAGAATCATCGATTGGCTGCCTCCTACTGGGGATCGTTCCCTGACCAGAATCAAACCTGAGACCCTTAGGTTCACAGGCCAACTCAGGTAGGGCTCACTGAGCCAAACCAGGTAGGGCTTAAGTAAACATTTTTAAAAATATATATTTTATTGATTTTGTACAGAGAGGAAGGGAGAGAGATAGAGAGTTAGAAACATCGATGAGAGAGAGTCATCGATCAGCTGCCTCTTGCACACCCCCTACTGGGGATATGCCCGCAACCAAGATACATGCCCTTGACCGGAATCGAACCCGGGACCTTTCAGTCCCCAAGCCGACGCTCTATCCACTGAGCCAAACCAGCTAGGGCTTAAGTAAACATTTTTTAAGAATGTATTTTTATTGATTTCAGAGAGGAAGAGAGGGAGAGAGAACTAGAATCATCGATGATGAGAGAATCACTGCACTGGGCCTCTAGTATTCAATAAAGTTGCTTACCAAAGAGATGGAGCCCTTGCTGAACCCAACAACCATGTATCCTGGTTTCTGCACGGAGACCCCACAGGTAGGTGTTTCTTCTTTGATGCTGGACAAGTGTTGCTTCCCCTGCTCTTTCCCTGTGGCTGAGCTCCACAGACTGACCACACTGCCTTCCGACACAGCCAGCAGCGTGGCCTGGGAAGCCAGCGCTGCCGAGCAGATCCAGGGGTCGGAGGCATCCCCCCGGATGTGGAAAATCAGCTCCGCAGTTTCCAGATTCCAAGCGTTGACCTAACAGAAGGATGACAACGAAGAGAAAACTCAGCAGGACACCTAGGCTGCTGGTTTTCCAGAGACAAATGCAAGACCTGTTCTTTTTTATAGTTGATGCATTTTATTTTTTGAACGCTCTGCTAGTGCCAAACATAGGTGGTCAGAGAGAGATATCCTGCATCGGATCCTGGAAGAGCAGAAGGCCATCTGTGGAATTTGATAAACTCCAAATAAAGCCTGGAATTAGGTTGATGGAAGTTATCAACATTAATTTCTTAGTTTTCACAAATGTAGTTATGTATGATGTAAACTTTTATAAGCTTTAAAAGTTTTTTATTAAAATTTTTTAAAGTTTTAATAACATTTTAAAACTTTTGCATAAATCTAAAATTGCTGCAAAATAAAAAGGTTTAATAATAGAACAAAAGTCAGGCATACCATATGCATTGACATATATATGTCCATTACAATAATTATTGATTAAAGAAGTTTTCCTGTTTAACCTCACAAAAAAGTATCTTTTTATCAGCAGTAACCATTTAAATAGTAAACATTTGCCCATAATTTTACTTCTAGGGTTTATGTTAGAGAACAAAGGAGAGATACACACAAAAATATATGCATAAGGAAAGTTAGCTCATTTATTTGAAAGCTCCACTGGACACAACCTGTATGTCCGACAGTAAAGGATTAAATAAACTATAGTGAAGCCAGGCGATGGAATCCTATGAAATCACTAAGATCCTCTTTTTGAAGAATGTTTAAGGGTATGAGCCAATGAAAATCTTACCTAATAATAGACAAACATGTAAATTGGCCATACCTCCGCTACTCCCACAGCCAATCAGGAATGAATATGCAAATTAACCCAACAAAGATGGTGGGTTGATTTACATATGCAGGCGGGGAGCGGCCAGGTTGCCTACTATGAGCAGGAGGAGGGGTGGCAGAGGGAACTACAGGAGAGGAGCTCCTCCAGGAGCAGGGATTTGCAGGCTCTCAGGTGGCCGGGTGCAAAGCCAGGGTAAGGGAGGCCTATTCTTGCACAAATATCGTGCAACAGGCCTCTAGTAGCTTTATAAAACTGCAAACTTTTGCTGATAACAAAGACGATTTCTATAATCAGTTTTGAAATCAACCAGAACTTCTCTAATATTTAAGCCTGCACTACCCAGTAAAAATATAATGCAAGCCACATGTGACTAAATTTTTATCAGCCACCATGATTACCTTGGAGCCAGATGCTGAATACACAACCTTCTTTGCTTCGTCCACGTGAAGGCTCTGAGGTACAGCAGGATCTCTTGAGCCTCCATCCCAAATGGTGAACTTCTCCTGGCCAGAGAGTAAGTTCCACAAGCGCAGGCTGCGGTCCTTGGAGGCGGAGATGGCCTGCGTCCCTCTGGCAAACACTGTCACACACCTCACCTCTCCTGCAGCAGGCCAGGGGGGGTGAGGGTATTAGCTGGGAACAGTTTGACCTTCCAACCACCAAAATGCCTGTTGGCCTGGAAATTCCCTGGCTTACCAAAGAAAAGATGGATAGGATTGAACGTACCAAATCAGAAATAATGCAATGTGGCAAAGCTAACGTGAGAGTGTAACAATTGCTTGGGATTAAATCAACTGCCCAGATGTTGAGTCTGTAATAAACAGAGATTATTGAATAAATAAAGTTCCGCATCATCCAGGGAGTGTAAGAAAAGCAAGGAAAAATTATAGGCGGTATAATTTTGGAGAGATGTTTTCTAAGCAAAACATGAAATTTCGAAGACAAAAAGAGGGAAAAATTAACCAAGTGAATTACATAAAAAAAGTAAAACTTCAGGAGGTAAAATGTAACTGAAAGGCATATGACAGACTGGAAGAAAATATTTGCAGTATGTAACAGATAAATGGAGACTCTCCTTAATAAACAAGAAGTTCTTACAAATAAGCAAGAAAAACACAAATAACCTACTCACAAATTGGACAAGGAATAGAAACAGAAATTGACAGACACAGTACAGTAGACAATAAGCATTATGAAATGATGCTCAACCTCATAGATACCACAAAAATGCAAGATGAAATACTAATACTATTATTATCCATCATATTGGCAAAAATTTTATGGATTGATCACTGGAGTGCAGGCAAAGACATTAAAAAATCAGTTATTCTCCTACCTTGCTAACGGGAGTTTAAGTTGACATATATTTGTAAGAAGGTAATTTGGTGCCATTTATTAAACGTTAAAATGTGCAATCTCTTGGTTTTGATAATATACTATAATTATGTAAGGTGTTGTCACTTAGGTGAATAAAGGGTACACAGGAGCTATGTACCATTTTAGTTGGAAAACTTTTGCGAGTCTATAAGTATTTCAAAATAAGTAGCTAAGAAAAAAGAAGAATAAAGAGAAAGTGTGCATATATTTGACTTCGAAATTCCACTTCTAGAAATTTCTTACAGAAATAAAGAGTATAAAAGGACTTTAATTGTATCATTGTTTTATATGAAGACTAGAAGCCCGATGCACAAAGATTCATGCTAGAATGGGCTTTCCTTTCCCTGGCTGCTGGAACCATCTTTCCACTCTGCTCCAGCCCGTTTCTGCTCAGGCCCCGGAGCTGCCTCTTCCTGCTCCAGCCCCACCTTCCCACGCTGCCTAGAGGCCTGAGAGACTGGGGTTGGGGCAGAAAGCCTATGTCCCGCCCCAGTCACTCAGCACCTGTGTATGCATACCAACGCCATCTTTGTTGGATTAATTTGCATATCACTCCTGATTGGCTGGTGGCTTAGCGAAGGTACGGTCAATTTACATGTTTGTCTATTATTAGGTAGGATATTATGCAGGCATTAAAAAATATATATATATAGCTGAAACCGGTTTGGCTCAGTGGTAGAGCATCGGCCTGCGACACGCCCCAGGTTCGATTCCAGTCAGGGGCATGTATACGTTGGTTGGGGGCACATCCCTAGTAGGGGGTGTGCAATAGGCAGCTGGTCCATGTCTCTCTCTCATCGATGTTTCTAGCTCTCTATCTCCTTCCCTTCCTCTCTGTAAAAAATCAATAAAAATATATTTTAAAAAATTATATATATATATATATATATATATATATATATATATATATATTTCAGTTGACCATGATAATCATAATTATTTTAATAGCCAACACTTGGTGCTTCTATGTCCCAAGCATAGTTGTAAGTGATTTACATGCATTAAATTCCTTTAATCCTTGTAACAACAGTGTGAGATATGACTATTATCCTACTATACAGATCTGTAAACTGAGACTCAGCAGAATAGAGTAACCTGTCCAAAGCCATCTGGTCAATAAGTAATGGAGCCACTATTTGAGCCCAGAGTCCAAGCTCTCAATCACTACAAAATACTGTTACATTATATTATGATCAAAGCAAGTTGCAGCACAGTATACAAAATAGCATGATCTGATTTTTGACAAAAACTCAAAGTATATGAGCCTATAGAGAGTTATGTTAGCATAAGCCTGGAGAAAATTCGCTATTGGTTTATGACAAACTGTAAACATTGACCACTTCCTGGAGGAAATGGAAAGGGGAGAGACTAAAGGAAGGGAGTTTTAGGTCTTTATCATTTAAATTCCGACAAGATAGTGGGTGATTTTTATTTGTTGCAATTTGAGTATTTTCAAGCAACAGTTTTATCAATAGCAATGCTTTAGAATATATCCCCATAGATAACACTATATTACTGTTAACATGAATTGGAGATATATACACGGTAATGGAAAAAGGTAAAATATATTATGTTAACTGAAAACAAACAAACACGGTTGCAAAAAGCTTTTATGACGATGCCACATAATGACGTTTCGGTCAACAACTGCATATCCGATGGTGGTCCCACAAGATTACAATGGAGCTGAAAAATCCCTGTGGCCTCGTGACCTTGTAGCCATTGTTGGGCAATGCCTGACTCTTGTGTTTGTGATGCTGCTGGTGTGACACTGCCAGTTGTATACCATGATGCTCCCACGAGGATGAAATTGCCCAATGACGCACGTCCCAGAACAGATTCTTTCCGTTAAGAGGGATATGACTCTATAAAACCAAACCCCCTTGAGGAAGGGAAGCAAACCTGCAGCCTTGTGGTGTACAGGACGGTGCTCCAACCAACTGAGCGCGGGCCGGGTACCCCTTTAAAGGTACGTCCAAAGCGTGTGCCTTACCCCTGTCCCCCTGGCCTGAGCCCTGGTCTGTCCCTCTTCAGCCTCTAGAACAGGGCCTGGTGGAAGCAGACAGTCAACGATTGATCAAATGAACAAACGATAAGCGGTGATGGGACTATGCAGAAATGAAAACTTGACTGTGCTAGACAAATTGTATAGATGTCCACAGTGCTTTATCCACCCTGGTCTATCCATTCTGCAGCTCAGGCCCCGGAACTGTGGCTCTACTCCTCCCATCAAGAGATAAAGCCTAGTCCTAACTGGTTTGGCTCAGCAGGTAAGTGCGTCGGCCTGAGGACTCAAGGGTCCCAAGTTCGATTCCGGTCAAGGGCATGTACCTTGGTTGCGGGCACATCCCCAGTAGGGGGTGTGCGGGAGGCAGGTGATTGATGTTTCTCTCTCATCGATGTTTCTAGCTCTCTATCCCTCTCCCTTCCTCTATATTAAAAATAATAATAATAATAAAAAATAACCAATAAAATATATATTTTAAAAAAGAGAGATATAAAGCCTATTTTCCTGCTCATTGATTTTGGACTGTTGATTGATTTCCCTGCTCATTGACTCTGGATTGTTCTTGTGACTTCCTCTGGCCAGCAGAATGGGACAGGGTGCCAGTTCCAAGGACAGTGCCGGGCCTTAAGAGACCTGGTGCTTGCCCTTCAGAGACCCTGCCTCTGCCCCAGCTCACCTGCTGGAAGATGAGAGACCTCGTGGAGCACCACTGAGTTGTCTCAGCTGAGAACATCCTGGACCAGTCGGCTCCCAGGTGCCTCACTAACTGATCACAGGTGCATGAGCACGCCTGGCTCAGACCAGACAGCTGCCCAGCTCGGTCCAGCCTGGCTTGTTAATCCACAGAAGGTGAGCTCAAGAAACAGCTATTGTTTGAGCTACGGTGTTACGTTGTGTGGTGATAACTCACATATGTAGGATCAAAGCCAGGATTTTTAAAAAATATACATTTTATTGATTTTTTTTACAGAGAGGAAGAGAGAGGGATAGAGAGTCAGAAACATCGATGAGAGAGAATGATCAATCAGCTGCCTCTTGCACACCCCCTACTGGGGATGTGCCCGCAACCATAGTATATGCCCTTGCCTGGAATCGAACACAGGACCTTTCAGTCCACAGACTGACGCTCTATCCATTGAGCCAAACCAGTTTCGGCACAAAGCCAGGGTTTTGATACAGAGAAGTGAATTGGTGATGCAGGGGACCTGGGGACAGATGGATGGATGTGGGGCACCAGGAAGAAGGTGATCCTGAGCCACCCCCTGAGCCTCACCTGTGTGTCCAGTGAGGATGTGGACCACCTGATGCTCTTCCATGTCCCACACAGCCACGATGCCCTCCTGGGTGCCAACCACCAGCAGCCTCTCTTCCAGGCTCCACGCCATAGCAGTGATGCCTGCAGCCCACGGAAGACAACAGGGAGGACCTCAGCTCCCACGTACCAGTCCTCAGCCGTGCGGTCCTCAAATGGGTCCCCACTTCCCAGACAGGGGAACGGAGGCACGGGCAGGCTCAGTCCCTGCCCAGAGCCACACACCTAGGAAGCAGCAGAGCCAGGACTTCGAAGCCAGAGCTGTCAGACACCAGATTCAGATCTCGGCTGTCATGTTTATGTTGCTCTTAGGGACTCAACCATAACTTGGCCATAAGTCTCTCTAGTTCAGCGGTTCCCACCCAGGGGCGATTCTGCTCCCTCGGGAACACTGGGCTGTAATGTGAGGGGGGGAAATGAACTATTTTATTTCATTTAAGCGGCTATTATTTTGGCCTTTGTTACAACATTTCAACTGTATCCTAACAAATGCACAGTGTTTTCCATTAAACCAGATTCAGTCTCAGAATCCTTCTCAATACAGTATTATAGTGGCTGTTCCTAAACCAATTGTTCCATTAATTGTACTTAATGTTGCTTAGAATTTCTATTTTGGAAGCATTATGCCTTGGGAATATAGCTTTCCCATACAAGGCAATGTGGCATAGAAATGTTCTGAGTTGCAATAACTGACATTTGAACCACAAGCTAATTGCATTCAGTGGCCTCCTGATTAATGCAAGAGATTGTGAGTGAGCAGAAAAGGGAATGGATGAATGGTGGTGGGCTGGTGGGTGGATGGATGGATGGATGGATGGATGGATGACTGGTTAGATGAGTAGGTGAGTGAATAGATAGGTATTAAATGGGTAGACAGATGAGTCAATTGATAGGTGGATAGGCAAACTGGTGAATGGCTGAGTGTATGGATGGGTGAAGGGTGAGTGGATGGAAGATGGCCAGGTGAGAGAAATAGAAAGATAAGTGGTGTGGATAGAGGGATGGAAGGAAGGTAATTAATGGAAGTATGGATGGTGGTGGTGGTTGGATGGAAGGAAGGAAGATATGTAGAAAGGAGGTGGGTGGATGGATGGATAATTGATGGAAGGATGGATAATGGAAGAAAGGGAAGATAGGTTGATGAATAGATGAATAGATGGATGGAAGGAAGGAGGCAAGAAGGAAGGAATGAAGGAAAGAAGGAGGAAGGAAGGAAGGAAGGAAGGAAGGAAGGAAGGAAGGAAGGAAGGAAGGAAGGAAGGAAAAAGGTAGAGAGGAAGGGGCGAGGGAGGGAGGAAAGAAAGGACAGAGAGAAGAAAGAACGCATGGACAAACGGATGACAAATGAATGTCACTGACATTCTGGTGCCCCAGGGAATCTACACATTCCATCAGCCAGTTAGGCACCAGCCCTTAGCTTCCAGACTTACTAGCTCAGCCTGCAAATTGCAGACACCCCCTGTAGGATGGACACTCAATTCTTAGAGACTGAAGCCCCGAGGCAGATGGCATCCCCTCACTCTGGGCCCATTAGCAGTCTTGACACCAGTAATCTACAGTCTCTGTGGGCCAGAGAGAGCGAGTCAGCATGAGACAGCGAGGGCAGCCTTGTGGGCACCTCGGGGCCTCCAGACTGGCAGAGGGGAGCCCCAGAGAGGAGCCTGAAACAACTACCCTCCACTGTTCCAGGGCAAGCCGGGGGTGAGGGGGCTACATGGGGGAGACCCACCTTTGTGACAGCCAGTGAGGGTGGCCCGGAGGGGTCCTCCTGGAGGCTGGAGGAATCCTCCGAGAGGCACCAGCACAGGGTGTGGGCACTCCCGGAACCAGCGCTGGGCCTGTTGGCACAGCTCTCCCACCAGTGCCGGATGCGAGGTAGCGAAGAAATGGAGTCTGGCCAGGATTTCTGTGTATAGGATGCTCCTCTCTGCAACAGAGGGGGCTCCAGTTAAAGGGAGGGGCTCTGCTTTTCCGGGTCAAGCATGCCCCCTTTTGCCCATCATCCTCTCCTGCCTCTTATCCAGGTAACTTTGCCCCTGCTTAAAGGGCACAAGATGGTTTCCAGCCTTTGGGCCTCTGCCTGGAACGTTTCCTTCCCCTCCCCCTTCTCCTGCCAATCATCTCATTCTCATCTCAGCTCAAAGGTCACTCCTGAGAAAGAGCATTCTCCAGTCCATCCCTCCAGTCCGCAGAGTCCCCATGCTCAGGCCTGACTGCAGCTGCAATCTGGCATTTCTCTGTGTGTTTGTTCAGGGCCCAGCCACCCCCACTACCCTAGACCCGGAGTTTCCCGAAAACAGGAATAATGTTTGTCTCGTTCATTGCTGTGTCCTTAGTGCCTAGAACCTTGTAGACACCCAGCAAGTCTTGGTTAGAGAAATACTGATCATTTCCCTCTCCCTCTCTGAAATCAACTATAACTCTTTAAATCTGTGGGAATGTGTTTTCTCTCTTGCTATATAAAGTGTTGGTCTCCTTTCCTTGATTTTACCTGAACTATCACCTATCTGGTCCTTTCTTTCTTAAAAAAAAAAAAAAAAATATATATATATATATATATATATATATATATATATATATATATATACACACACACACACACACACACACACACATTATTGATTTTTTACAGAGAGGCAGGGAGAGAGATACAGAGCTAGAAACGTCGATGGGAGAGGAACATCGACCAGCTGTCTCTTGCACACCCCCTACCGGGGATGTGCCCGCAACCAACGTATACATGCCCCTGACTGGAATCGAACCTGGGATCTTTCAGTCCGCAGACCGACGCTCTACCACTGAGCCAAACCGGTTTCGGCCCTATCTGGTCCTTTCTAGAAATGGTGCTGGGCCGGGGTGAGGGGTAGTTTTCACTCCAAAACTCTCCAGGGTTCAAGTTAAGGTTCTAGAGACTGTACTAGGAGAAAGCCCAAGGTGTGGACAGGAAAGGAATGCTGGGTAGTAAGAATCCAGCAGGTGGCTCAGTGAGGAGTGAGCTTCTAGGGGTCAGTACAGAGCGGCTCCCCTGACTCACCCAAGCCCCGGAGCTCCACGGCCGGGCGGCACAGCTGGAGGGCTTCTCGGACCAGGCCCACCTCGGGGCCGTCCAGGTGAGGGGCACACAGGTCAAAATCATCCAGCAGGCTCTCCATGCCCCCGGAGACGCCTCGGCAGCAAATCCAGCTCATGCTGCCTGCGGAGGGGACGGCTGTGAGGAGCAGTTCCTCCTGGGAGGAGGGCTCCCAGGGCTTCTCACTCTTGCCCTGCAACCCGGCCCCTGTGGTTCTCTGCCAGGCAGTCCTGTGCACTGCAGGTGTGGAGCATGGTCCCTGGTCTCCACCCGCCAGAGGCCAGTACCTTCCCCCTGAGTCACGATGATAAAAAACATAAACATTGGCAAGTGTTCCCTGGGGGGCCGAGTCACCCTGGTTGAGAATCACAGGAATAAATGAGTGGTAGATAGAGGTACATACATGCATAGATACATAGATACACAGATATATGTATGCATACATAGATACATAGAATAGACAAATAGATGGATAGACAGAAAATTGATGAATAGATAGATGACAGATGGAAAGACATAAAGATGACATAGATGATAGAATAGAAATGACAGATGATGGTAATTAGAGATAGATGGTAATTAGAGATAGAGATAATCCTATATAATAATTCTATATAATAAAAGGCTAATACACAAATGGACTGAAGGGGGGGTGGCTATGACACACACTGACCACCAGGGGGCAGATGCTCAACACAGGAGTTGCCTCCAGGTGATCAGTGCGCTCCCACAGGGGGAGTGCTGCCCAGCCAGATGCCGGGCTTATGCTGGCAAGCACAGCGGTGGTGGCGGGAGCACTCTTGAGAGGGCGCAGGCCAAACTGAGGGACCCCCCTCCAGTGTACAAATGTCATGCATTGGGCCTCTAGTAGATAATAAATAGACAAAAAGAAAGATGGATGGGTAGATAATAGGTGGATAGATATAAAGATGATAGAAAGACATAAATGAGAGATAGAGAGAGAAATGATAGACAGATACGACAGGTAGATATGACTGAGGAATAGACATGATAGAAAGATGGAAGGTAAACAGATAGAGACAATTGCTATATTGATAGGCAAGTCGCTCTCATTCTAAGGCTGACTTTCTCGCCCTCTGCACTACCAACCAGCACTCAATGCCAATAGCACCCCCTCCCTGAGTCTTGACAACCAAAATATCTCCAGACATTGCCAAGTGTCACCAGGTGAGATCCAGTGCCTAAGAGAAACCAAGGACATTGACTCTTGCCTCTCTCTTCCCGGGCTCTAGAAAGGGGTAGCAGGGTGGAGGGTCAGGACCTGCCCAGGGCTTACCCAGCACCTCCTGCTTCAGCTCCTCAAGGCGGCCCGAGTGGAGCAGGTGGTAGGGCAACTCCTTCAGCTTCCTCAGGTTTGCAACCGTGTCCGAGAACCACAACGGCTGCGGGGCCACCTGCAGGAGAGGAGGGGGTGGCAGGCCAGGCCGGGCACTATGGGATGCGGGGAGGGGGGTCGGGGGGGATGGGGGATGGGGACACAATTCCAGGCAGAGATGCCCTAGACCCACCACACGTTGGGCTGGGCAGAGGGAGGGATCTGAGGTTCTGGGAACCCATGGGGGGCATTAGAGCAGAGCCTCAGAGGATAAGTAGGAGTATGTCTGGTGAAATGTGAGGGCAAACAATGGGATTCTTGGGCAAGGCATGGCATGTCCGCAGGTGAGAGAGCAGGATGAGAGTTCGGGGAGGGCTGAATAATAAGGCACAGCGGGCAATCATGGTGGGAAAGAGACTGGAGAGTTTGTAGGCAGAAGATCATGAATATCAGGCTGGGGAGGTGGGACAGGACACAGAGGGCACTGGAGAGCCATGGGAGGTGTTAGAGGAGAGGCATGACCAGCATGCATTGTCAGAAGCATTCCTTGGGAGGATGGACTGGAGCAGGAGGTCCTGAGGCTGGGAGGCCAGGAAGGAGTACAGACCACGTCCCAGAGGGAAAGGATGCGACAGCCTGCAGGGGATCTGGGCACAAGGGAGAGGACCTGTGAGTCCTGAGGGAGGAGAAAGGGCAGGGCCGAGAGACCAGCAGGCCTGGCACTGTCTCTGGCCTCCTGTGTGTCCATCATGGGGACAAAGAAGAAGAAAAATCTATGACACCAGAAGACTTGCAAGTGTATTTACTGGTTACCATCAATGGGCTACAGTTATGGAAAATGTTAATGTCGGGAGAAATGGACAGAAGAGCCCAGGGGAAGTCTCTGTATTCAATTTGCAACTCCTCTGTAAATCCAAAATGATTTCAAAAATCGTTTTAAAAAGAGATTTTAAAATCGTATACGTTCTGCCTCGAAGTGAAGGGAACACAAAGTAAAAGACCAAGTAATTGAGAAGGGGAAAAAAAACCTGGAAGGCTTCCTGTAGGAAGAGGCATGTAAGCTGTGCCTTGAGGTGTTTGAGAGGCAAAAATATAAAAAATGAGGGGACAGCACATCAGCTAAGGATGCCAAGTCATAGAGCTCCTGGGCATAAAAGAAGAAAGACTGGAAGGAAATGTGTGACTAGTGACTTGGTCTTGCCCGCGCAGCAGGGTGGAGGTTGAAGGTGCAGGAGAACAGGGGTGCAGACACCTCACCTTGCGGTCCAGGTTCAGGGGCTTCCCCACCAGGGGCAGGGTGATGAGCTTCTTGATGCCCTGGCTCCAGGCTCCCAAGAAGAAGTCAGCCAAGAGTCCGTGCCTCGTGGCTTTCTCAGGCCCCGAGAGGTAGCGTTCCCGGATCACCTCAGCCAGCTGTCTGCAGAGAGGGGACAGGGGCTGGTGGGCCTGGGGACCCGGCAAGCTCAGAGCTGGCCACTGGCCTTCCAGGAGACAGTTCCCAAATGCAAGTGCATTCTAAATCACATCCAGATGCTCACTAAGTCTTCTGACGGCCTGTCCTATTTGCTACTTAACATTTATCTCTTAATCGGCCCATCTTCCCTCCCTCAACCTCAAATAAATTTATTAAAAAAAAAACAAAAAAACATAACACCTTTGGGCTCCTCGTGTTAAGCATAAAATAAGTTATTGTGCTGAAACCAGTTTGGCTCAGTGGTAGAGCATCGGTCTGCGGACTGAAAGGTCCCAGGTTCGATTACGGTCAAGGGCATGTACCTTGGTTGCGGGCACATCCCCAGAAGGGGGTGTGCAAGAGGCAGCTGGTCGATGTTTCTCTCCCATCGACGTTTCTAGCTCTCTATCTCTCTCCCTTCCTCTCTGTAAAAAAAATCAATAAAATATATTTTAAAAATAAATAAATAAATAAAAATTTTTTTAAAAAGTTATTGAATGTCCTAGCAATTCTATTCCTGGAATTATGTACAGTACATATGTGTATATATATATTCTGAGTATATACCAAGGGAATGGAAAAACTTAGACGCACAAGTGCACAGCAGCACTGTTCACACTCGCCAAAGGCGGAAACAACCCAACTATCCATCAGCGGGTGAACAGATAGATGAACAGGGACGCATCCCTGCAATCACAAAGAGGAATGAAGCTTCGACACGTGCTATAACGTGGACGAATCTCGAAAGCATGATGCTGAGTGAGAGAAGCCAGACACAAAAGGCCACATGCTGACCCCATCGGCACAAAATGTCCCGGACAGGCAGATGGGCAGCAACAGAAAGCGGGTTAGAGGTCGCCAGGGGCCGTGGGGGAGATGGGAGTGACTGCTCCTGGGACCTGGGTCTCCTCTCGGGCGATGAAAACATCCTGGAACTCCTTAGAAGGTTGGTCGCAAACGCTGCGAATGTACGAAGTGCCACTGAGGTGTACACTTTAAAACAGTGAATTGTTAAATTTTTTTTATTTTATTGATTTTTTACAGAGAGGAAGAGAGAGGAGTGGAGAGTTAGAAACATCAATGAGAGAGAATCATTGATCCGCTGCCTCTTGCACACCCCGTACTAGGGATATGCCCGCCACCAAGGTACATGCCCTTGTACCATGCCCTTGTCCGGAATCAAACCCGGGACTTTTCAGTCCGCAGGCTGACGCTCTATCCACTGAGCCAAACCGGTTTCAGCTAAAACGGTGAATTTTAAATGTGAATTTCTCCTCCTAGAAAACAAGCTAGTTGTGTGAGAGTCGGGGCGCGGAAACCCTTGAATGCTGGACCAAGTAGACGTGACTCCTGGGGGTGGGGAGAGACAAAGGTCTGGGCGAAGGAGGAGCCCTTGGGCATGCAGACGGCATGGCCTCTGCGCTGGGCCTACCTGTGGGCGACGGCCAGGAGCGTGAAGCCGTCCGCAGGCCGCCGGGCCAGGCAGGTCCCCAGGTCCCGGCGAAGCCTCACCCACAGCAGCGGTGGGAAACGCAGCAGCTCCTTGCTGGGCGGGGTCCAGTCCTGGTACACGGCCTGCAGGACCTCATCATCCAAGGACAGGACGTCCTTCAGCTCAGCCTCCGAGAGCCCGTGCCTGTAGGGAGGAAGAAAAACCTGGAAGGCTTCCTGTAGGAAGAGGCATTTAAGCTGTGCCTTGTGGTGTTTGAGAGGCAAACAACAACAACAACAACAAACAACAAAAACTAAAAACACACACACACACACACAAAATAAAACACACAAAAAACGAGGGGCATCACATCAGCTACGGATGCCAAGTCTTAGGGCTCCTGGGCATAAAAGAAGAAAGACTGGAAGGAAATGTGTGACTAGTGACTTGGTCTTGGTCTTGGTCTTGCCCGCACGGCCGGGTGGAGGTTGAAGGTGGAGGAGAACAGGGGTGCAGACACCTGCGTCTTCCGCACGTGGAGGAGGCAGACGCCAAGCGACAGAGGAGCATGGCCAGCTCACTGCACAGTGCCTGCCCGTCACCCTGAGGATCCGCGTCTGGACGTGCCCAGGCCTGTGGGCACCAACGCCTGGTTCCATCTGTACCCACCACCTAGGACCTTTCCTGACCTTTCCTTCTGCATCCACACAGCTACAGAACCTCCCACCGTCCTCTCCCCAGGGAAACATAGGGAGGGAGAGCGGAGGTAACTTGGGAAAATAATGCAGAAACCAACTATGTCCACCCCAGTCTACCCCATACTTCCTGGCCGGAGAAAGCCTGACAGGGAGGGAGTGGCCTTAAATGGGGCAATCGTCTGAAGTTTTGATGCTGATCTGAATGGACTTTCTAACACCTGCGAGCGAGCGTGAGAGCTTTGAGGGAGGCGGCTTCTGCTTGCACCTCACTTAGAAGCTCATGTGGATATTTTTTTTTAAATTCTGTTATGTTGAGCAAAGTCTTTGTTAGGGTCCGTCAAACCTAAGAGTCTTCATTTTGATCAAAACACTGGCCACATTGTTCACATAGAGAGATGGCTTACTCAGAATTTTCTGATGTATGACAAGGTGGGTATCAACGGGAGACAGAGAGAGAGAGAGAGAGAGAGAGAGAGAGAGAGAGAGAGAGAGAGAGAGAGAGAGAGAGAGAGAGAGAGAGAGGAGGGTCTCTCAGGCTAAGGCAGACTTTCTCACACTCAGCACTGCTGACATTTGGGGCTTCATCACTCCCTGGGGGCGGGTGGGGGGGTCCTGAGCAGCATCCCTGATCTCCCCCCATTAGATGTCAGTAGCACCCCCCTCCCCAGTTATGACAATAAAAATGTCTCCAAGCATTGCCAGGTGTTCCCTGGGGTGGGGTGCTGGCCTAGAACAACTCAGATCTGCTCCAACTCAGATCTGTCCTGGGGGTGGGAGCTCAGCTGGGCGGCTGGAGCTGCTGGCTCCACCGTCACCCCAACGACTCCATCCCTCCATCCGTAAACAGCGTATGTTCACCGAGCTGGAGGCACTCAAGTCCAACCTTCAGCCGCCTTCCGCACCCGCAGGAGGGGCGGTCCTGCCCTCTGCGAGGCCCCTCTGCTCCACTGATTGCATCAGAGGTGGAGCCAGAAAGGCCCATTGATTTCTGTCTCCCCGGATTTTGGGAGCAGGATTCCAGGCGGAGCCAGGACAATGGAGTCAGGCCCCTGAGACGGGAGCTGGGGATGCCCACGGAAGCTTGTGGCAAGCTGGAGGTCTGGGGAGGGGGAAGGAAGGGGCGCGCACAAAAGCTGATGTGCGGAGGGAGCGGATCCGGAGGGAGAGGGGATGAAAAGCTGCCCTGGTTCCTGTGGCTTGCCTGTTTCCATGACAACCTGCTTCCTCCACAAAGACAGCAGCGCAGGGGCCTGATGGTCCAAACCCTTTATTCCGGAACATTGCTCCGTCTATCATTGTAGAGTCCATGCCAGGCCTCCACTCTGGGGTACTACTGGCGAAATCTGGGATATGCCCCCTGGAGTTGGCTTTGGAGTGGCCCTGGGTTCCCGAGCGCCTCCCCCGGCCCCGGCCTCGGCATAAAGCCCCTAAAGTAAGCGTTAGTGTGAAAGGTATTCTGTTCCTGGCAAACCAACCAAACAACAAACAATACCCCCTCCCTGCTCTCCGCCCATCTTGCCTGATTTGTGGTAAAAGACAAAGGTGGGGAAGAGAAAAACTGCCCTAAAACGGAGAAGAGGCAAAATTGGATTGTTAAGCATCCCTGCTGATGGGCTCGAATGTTCCATTAAGCTAAAGCTCTATTGCCTGTTGTGTCTGCCAGTTGGTCTCCATCCCACCCTCCTGGGGGCGGGGGCTCAGCTGGGCTGCTGGGGGTGGGAGATGAACACGCTTCTAGCTCCTGCTCATTTTTTCAGACTCCCTGTCCACACCTGGCATCTCTGAGCAATCCCTCCTGACCATCCTGACCCAGCTTCACCAGTTTGCAGCCCCAAAACGTTCTCTGGGCTGGGCAAACTTCATCTCTTTAAACTCTATGAACACAATAGAATTAGATTTTCCTGTTACAATTTTGCTGACTCCCATGCCACAAGCTTATAATTAGATGTAGAGACAGGTTTGAGGTTGATTCTTCAGAGAAGTTTGCTTTTTAAATATATATATATATATACACACACACACACATACCAGAGGCCTGATGCATGAAGATTCATGCAAGAATGGGCCTTCACTCTGGCTGGAGCCACCTTTCTGCCTTCTCATGCTGCCCAGAGGCCTGGAGTGGCTGGGGTAGTATGGAATGCCCTCATTGTCATAAGCATCTCACTCCACCCCCGCCGCTAAGTGCCTGCATGTGCAAATTAATCCACCACATTTGTTGGGGTTAATTTGCATACTCACTCCTGATTGGCTGGTGGGCGTCATGAAGGTACGGTCAATTTGCATCTTACTCTTTTATTAGTGTATTTTTTTTGTTGATTTCATAGAGGAAGAAGAGGAAGAGAGAGAGATAGAAGCATCAATGATGAGAGAGAATCATGGATTGGCTGCCTCCTACATACCCCCTACTGAGGATCAAGCCTGCAACCTGGACATGTGCCCTGACTGGGAATTGAAACAGTGACCTCTTAGTTTATAAGTCAATGCTCAGACACTGAGCCACACCAGATGGGCCAGAGAGGTTTGCTTTAAGGAGATTATTTTTTTTCCTGAAATTTCCACACACATTGTTTAGTAATTACAAAGGGAAACATTGCACATTTACAGTGGGGAGTGTGGGGGGGGGGGGAATTGTGCCCAAAAAGGGCCAAGCATCACTCGGGTTTAACCTGGATGTGATCACAAGGAACCATCAGACCAAACATCAGGTGAGAAGGACCTACAATTTCCTTACACACCTGCCCCCCTCCCCGCCCCCCGAAGCTGTGCTCCCTGGACAAGTAGCATCAAAGGAGCGATACCTGGGTCCCAGGCCCTACAACAGACCTGCTGCACCAGACCCATTATTCAAAAGCAGGTCCAGGATACATATACCCATTAAAAATTGAGGAATGCGGTCCATGTTCTTCAAAACAGCACAAACAGAATGTTCCGGATTATAGGAGACAGAAGAGATGATAATTAAATGCAATGTGTGGTTCTGAATTGGCAGCTCTACAGGACATTTTTGTGACAATTGGCAAGTTTTAACCATAAACTGTGTATTAAATAATATAATTGCGTCGGTGACACATTTCCTAAGTTTTGTCATTGTCTTTGGCATCGTGGGATACTGGCTGCCCTTGTTCTTAGGGAAAATGTGACATATTTAAGGGTAAAGAGGAGTGATGCCTGTAATAAACTCTCAAATGGTTCAGGGGAAAACTATGTGTGTGTTTAAATAGATAGATATTAAGACAGAGACTAGGTAGGTAGATAAATAAAAAGAGAGAGAGAGAGAGATAAATAGGAAGGATTATAAATAAAAGAAAAATAGTGAAAAATAGATGCTAGATCAGTAGAAAAATAGAATAGAAAAATAGAAAGAAAATATCTATCATGATAGATAGATAGATAAACAGACAGACAGATAGAAAGAGAATATGAAAGAAAACATTGATAAACAAATGAGAGGGAGAGCTTGGCCTGCATGGCTCAATGGTTGAGTGTTGACCTATGAACTAGGAGGTCATGGTTCGATTCTGGTTAGGGCACAAGCCAGGGTTGTGGGCTTGGTGCCTAGGGCAGGGCATGCAGGAGGCAGCCAAAAAAGATTCTCTCTCATCACTGATGTTTCTTTTCTTTCTTTCTTTTTTTTTTTTTAAATATATTTTATTGATTTTTTACAGAGAGGAAGAGAGAGGGATAGAGAGTTAGAAACATCGATGAGAATCATCGATCAGCTGCCTCTTGCACACCCCCTACTGGGGTTGTGCCCGCAACTAAGGTACATGCCCTTGACTGGAATCGAACCCAGGACCTTTCTGTCCGCAGGCCAATGCTCTTTCCACTGAGCCAAACCAGTTTCGGCATCACTGATGTTTCTATTTCTCTCTTCCACTTCCTTCCTCTCTGAAATCAATAAACACATACTGAAAAAGGGGGTGGGGAGAAAGAGAAGGAGGGAGGGAGAGAAAGCTAATGTGGCCAATTGGTGATTCTGGAGGAAGGGCATTTGGCAGCCGTTGTCAACTAGAGCCGGCTCTGCCTGCAGGGGACACTTGGCAACCTCCTAAGACATTTTTGGTTGCCCTGATGAGGATGGCATCTTGTGAGGTGAAGGCAAGGGACGCTCTTTACCACCCTATTGGGCACAGGAGGCCCACACACACTGCAAAGAACTGGCCCCAAATGTCAGTAGCACCAAAGCTGAGACAACCTGATAGAGGGGAATTCTTTGCACTGTGGGAATTCTTCCGTTAGTCTATACTTTGAAAGTATTTCAAAGTAAAAATTTTACAAAATACATCTTATATTTCTGTCTGCATAGAGACAGAAAGAAGATCCATGGGTATCAGGAACCGGGGAGGGAGGATAGGGGGGTGTTGCTAATGCAGATGGGGTTTCCTTTGGGGGTGATGAAATGTTCTGGAGGTGGATAGTGGTTGCCAAACACTGGAGATGTACAAAATGCCACTGAAATGTACACTTTCTCATTTCTTTTCAAAAAATATTTTTATTGATTTTTTTTTTAGAGTGAGAGGAAGAGGAGATGGAGAGAGAGAAACATGGATGTGAGAGCGAAGCACCAGTTGGCTTATTCTTGGGGAGTGAACCTTCAACTCTGGGCATGTGCCCTGACCAGGAATCGAACCAGCAACCATTCAGTACGCAAGACAATGCCTGAGCAGAAAACCAAAGAAAAAACAAGCGATGCTTTAAAGAAGAGGAGGGACACTGTTTAGTATGACGGCAGACTCAGGGAATAACTCCAAATCTGAGTGCGAAAACACGCATGGGGCTTCTCTTTATATCTCCCTGTGGTTTTGTCTTGCAAATGGACCATTTCTGTCCTTTTCACTGGCCTTGCAAGAAGGCTCCCAGGTGTTGGAGGTCTCCAGACCATATCTGATGGTCTGGCCTGGTGCCAGCGTTAATAACCCTCCCTCCAGGGCAGTGCACTGTTCACCATTTTACGGCCTCTATAATAGGTTCTGCATGACTGGGAAGAAGGTAGTGACTTAATTATATTGTAGGTTATCAAGAATGTACACTGAGCTTGCTGGCATGGATTCAGACCACTAGCCCCCAAATATCAGAGTTACGTTGGGATTAGCCTTTTTTAGCCTTCTCAGAGCCACACTGGCCAGAGCCACACTTTAAAAGAGTGAACTTTACGATACATGAATCATTGTGGGTGGAATAGTGTTTCCCCCAAATAAGCGCCAACCTGGAACCTGTCCATGGGACCTTATCTGACAACGGTCTTCGGGGACCTGATGGGGTTAAGATGAGGCCATCCTGGATTAAGGTGAGCC